CTAATCAACTAGGGGTCGACCGATTTATCGGTTGATCATTCGGGCTGATATTTAGCATTTTTTTATCGTCTGCATCGGCCGATAAGCCTTTTTAGTAGAGACTATTTAAAGTCAGGCACCTCCACAGGCAGCCCACTGCTGCTGGAAGCCGCATGTGCGAGAATCGAAAACACTGGGAATATTTTCCTCCGAGTAAAAGGTAAGGCTTCTCTTTGGTGTTTCAAAACCCTACAGCTGTGTATTCAGTGTGAATTAAAAGTAACATATGAAATAAAACTTAGCTGAGTAAAAGAAAAAAAACGAGCCGCAAGAACTGCCGGTAACTGGCAGCGTGCCGCTAATGCTAGGCTAGCTTGTTGTCAACTTTAGAGACAGTCTTAAACCCTCAGCTGCTTTTTTGCTTAACATGTTCACTCCAGTTTTAAAAATTTTACTCTTTTCCTGTATGGGAGTCGGAGAATTTCACTCTGAGCCCAAAGGAGAAGAGACTCCTGCAGCAGCAGCATCTGCATCCCCTCCCGGTGGCGTTTTGTGTTCAGAACTTTTTCTCATGTGGGTCGGAGCCGAAGAACATCACACGCTTCTCTAGTTTTTATTTGGATGACACTTTCATTTGTGTTTAATTGTGTTTTTCTTCTGTTGTAGGCAGCTCGTTAAGCAGCCTTGGAGGCACCTGGGCTCAGGGTGTGGTGCTGCCTACAAAGCCTACTGTTTTTCTGCTTTCACTGGGTCTCTCCTGTGTGGTGGAGAGTCCTCACTGGCCATTTTCTGTTCACTAACTTGCTTTAGTAAATCCTTACTTTGGTTAAATAAATCAGTTGTTGAACCCCCACTCCTCTGTTTGGTCTCCTTTCTTATTACAGCCCACCACTTCCAGTCTGGGTTGTAACAATCTGCAGACAGATTTCTGAGCATCTCCTCCTTTACACAGATCCTCACTGAGCCAAGTACTGTGAACAAATAGTTTCTCCGTGATATTATCCAGCAAGGTCTTGTTTTTGTCAAAACAAGGGTGAGGTAATGAAGAAATAGAAATATTTCAATACATTAACATTAAAATTATTTATATGCATAATAAAAAAAAACATGTTTTGAAATATATAAAGTGCACCAAACTTGACTCAGTCCATTCAACAATTCTAAATGGACAATTATGTAACTCATCAATTAATTATTTGAAAGGATAATTTGTCAATTAAATGCTGAAAAAAATAAACAATACATTAATGAGGCAAGAACTTTTTAAACTTGAACATACCTACACCCACAAGTCTATTTTTACCTGGTTAAAACCATCTAGCTTATGTGCACTTTTTAAAACACTGCCCAGCAAACATTCGGACATTTAATGACAGTTGAACGGTCACAACTGTAAAATAATATCACAGGAATTAGGAAAGAATAATACGACATGAACTCTATGTTACTTGGCCGGACTCGAACCTGGATCCTCCAGAGTGAGAGTCACCCACTCTCCCAGCTGAGCTATGCCAGCAACTGTTGAATATCAGATTTTTTTATATAGATAGCGAGAGTAAAGTGCGGGGTAAACTAACCAATCAGAGGATAGGGAAGATCTGCCACAGGCCACGCCTCCAGAGTGCCAAAACTCCTCACAGCGGAGCGAGCGGAATTAGAAACCGAGCACGCAGAGGCTACCGAGCGCGCAGAGAGGCTGCCGCGCGTGCACGTTTTCCTCTGCCGTGTGCTCGTTGGCAACGCGCGCACGCAGGTTTGTCACTTGTACACATCCTTGTGCGCTCACAGACACAGTTTGCTCCCTCTCAGTGCACAAATGACCTCTCGCCATGTATATTTTCGCTCGCGAGTCCCGTTCACGCGCGCGCTGCCATGTATATTTTCGCTCGCGAGTCCCGTTCACACGCGCGCTGTGGACCCAATGCGCGTGCACGGGTTGTGGCACGCTTTAAACGCGATATTGGTATGGGTGTTTTTCAGTGTTAGGGAACCTCACCTTGGCAGGCAAGGTGCTTTGCGTACGAGGACACGGTTCTTATTATTGCCTCCCTATATTATAATTTTATTGTGTTTATGTCTTAATTATGATTTTGCTCATCATTTATTTTTTCTTGCACCAAGTACCGCTGCAATTTCCTAATGTTGTGATTCTCGCACATATGGCAATAAAACCCTTCTAATTCTGAATGGCCTGAGTACTGGTTGTGAACCCAGAGTGTTGGACCAAAGTGTGTCCTGACCAATCAAGGCTTTGGTGTCTGTGTCCAAAACCTGTCCCACTGCGTTTCTACAACAACATCCAGAACAGAAACAAACTTTGCTCATTCATTCATCTTAACAGCTTCATAGGGAACCTAAGTCTCCTCCGTTTCTGGTCGGCTCATGGGTTCCCGGAAGAACGAAAATATAAATGCAAGTCAACGGGGCTAAAAGAGCTATTTCCTGATCCGCTTTGCTTCAGACCCTGGATCGACATATGTTGTACTGCAATGAAAACTAATGATGGGTGTTTCGACTACAGCTGTCACGTACTTTGAGATTTATCAGCTTGTAAAAGTTCGCAATTAGCATGACTACGAATTAGATATCAGCACATCACATTTGTGTAGGAGCATGTGTAGGGCTGCCACGATTAGTCACAAAAAATGGTTGACGATTAATGTAATAGTTGAGGCGTTGTTTATTGTATGAGCATTTTTTTAAATCTCGCTTGCTGCAGCGTGTTCAGCGTTTGCTTCCTGCCTCTGTGCTCAACACACATGCGCACTAGTCGCCATCCATGTCAGCCGCTGCTTACATAAGTGGAGGCACATGCACAGTAGTGCCACTCCAGCTCTGCATTTGGATCAGAATCACCGCAGAAATAAGACATCATGGCGAGTCTGCAACGGAGCTCAAAGGTTTGGAAGCATTTTATTAAAACAACTGAGAAGCAGGTAGAGTTCAAAATCTGTAAGGTGAAACTCGTTTCACGGGATCCATCGGTGATGCACAAGCATCTTAAAAGGAAGCACGTGACGGCGGAGAACGAAGGGTTGCCTCAGGAAGTTTACCTCTTGTTAGCTGCTAGCATCATAGGTGTAGCAAAAACTGTCGTGATGGCAATTACATGTTTAGAACACGTATGAATATGTCACGTATTAGCTCTAACGTTACAAACGCTAGTGATTTATTTCATCCTGCTACATTACAGTGCTAAAAGAGAGTGCCCTTGTCCTACAATGGACAAGTTTCTTACAAGGCCGAACACGTGCACACTGGAGCAAGCCAGCGTTCTGACCGAGGCCATTTTGAACATGCTGGTAATGGACATGAGACCCCGTCCATGGTCGGCGATCAAGGTTTTCAAGATATGATCAAGAAGTTCAACCCAGAATAACAGGACAACTACTTACCAGGCCAGTCACATTTCACAACCTAGAAAGGAAATACGAGACGACCTTCGACAAGGTGTGTATCTGTGTGTGTGTGTGTGTGTGTGTGATTGAACGCATGACACACGATTAGTCAACTAATCGTCAACAAAACTGGCGATTAGTAAACTAACAAAATCGCTGTTTGTGGCAGCCCTACATACGTCACCACATAATATCTCCTCTAGCGTAGCTGCTACTTACCACGTGGCCATAATTATGGTGGTTCTTGCCTCCTCAAAGAAGGATTTTAAATTGGCTAAATTTACAGCCATGTTCCCTCTGTTTTTCTTTGTGTCTGGTTCGATGACATCACTTTCATGAAGCGCATTTGTAGTCCTAGACTTATTTTCACACAAAACCTAAAATCGCATTTCCCCCTGTTCGTAATTAAGTGCATTCTTGGAGTTAAAATGTGTCTTTAAAATTCATGGACATCATATATGAAATCCATGGCACATAACAAGCTGAATTAGAAAATAGCGTTTTTAGCCCCATTGACTTGCATTCATTTTTTCGTTCTTCCGGGGACCGATTGGTGCGGATGTAGATGGGTGTGACTTAGGCTCCCTATTCTCAGTTACATCACAGGGAGCTGGTGTCCATCTACAGGAGTCATCAGGTGAGAGGCTGCGAACATCCTGAACACGACAATTCCACACACAAAGGCCACAGCTGGGATTCTAACTTGCAACCTTCTCCACCAGCTGCACCACCATGCACCATCATCATTATATTATTATTAGAAATAGTAACACGGTGAAGCAGCAGGGCTGGTTGGGCAGCTTAAAGGACTCTTCCACGATTTAAAGGTGAAGTATGGAAGAATGTAGTGAACATTTTACAATGAGAAAATCCCAAGAGTCTAATGTCTCAGTCATGTTGGAAGAAAGGTTGAACTGAAACATATTCCATATCCAGCTGGCTGTGGGGACTGTCAGTTTTTCTCCTTTCAAAACAAAACAAAGGAAGAAGGGAGGTGAGCTAATGTTGCAGCGCCGACAATCGTAATTTGACAATGGACAGGCTACAGTAACCAAATGTTACCACAGGATGTCTCTTTTACTTCATTTCCACATAATGCATCTTTAATGTCAGCAAAATCAAATACAACTGTGACTGCTATAACTTCCACTTCTGCAATGCAAATGCCACACAGTACTGGAGCTGGAGTTCTCCAATTTCTCCGTGACAGACAAAAACTGCATTTTTACGTCTTAAACGGATGATACCTTCTCAGTGCAACCTACCGCAGGTGTTTTAGCTGATTTGGGGTTTAAAAGGTGCTGATGAAACTGTGCAAACCGGCTTCGAAATGTGAACAGTGAGTTTATAAAGTAAAGCCTGATAAAGGCCAGTCCGTCGATGCGGAGGAAGCTGGATCTAGAAGCATCCCTTCAGATGATGTCGAAAACAAACAGCAGCCGTCAGTGATGCCTGTACTCCACCGGTGTCAGCACAGGAGCTTTAACTGAACACCACAGCTAATGATGGACCAAGTAACACTGTCATAACATCAAGCTGCTTTTAAGGTCCCACGCGTACTGTAACGGCATCAGAGCCGCACCTGCACCACCACAGACCAGTAAACAAAAAACGAGAACTTACGGCGCATTTCCTGCCCAGGTAGCCGAACAGGCACTCATTCTCCTGCGGAGTGAGGAGTAGGGAGCCCACGTTAACGGCCCTGCGGGGAGGAGGATGGCTGTTCATGGCTGCAAACGCGTTTTGTTTTTATCTCCTGCTACGATGATCCCACAACCGGGTTCAGCCTCTTCATCTAATTACAAAAATTCCATGCGGGCTCCGGTTGCTGTGGCCTGCAACCGGATCATCTCCACTCAGTCCGACTCCGGGCAGGAGGGCCGGGTAGGAGGACTAAACCCGTTTTCCACACTTACTTCTGGTGAAAAAATATTCATACAATGTTTGTTTTGTAAAAGATGCAAACGTAAACAATATCTAAAAACCCGTTGAGAAATAAACAACCAACTTTCCTTCGGAAACTCCTGCAGCCTCCGAAGCAGCGGGCGCATCCAACATGGCAGAAGGAGGGAGCAAACCACTATAAATGGTGAGCGGGGGAAGTTAGTTTCAACAAACTCTGTTAGCTTTGTTCTAATCTGGATTACAAGGGAACATCGGTGTATAGGCAAACTCACATTTGTACTTCAAATGTATTTTTAATTGATTAATGTTTTTTTTCTAGTGTTCTTTAGACAGAGCTAAACTAAAGTGTCCCTGCTAATCACAGATGGCACAGTCTGAGAGGCAGCAGCAGCTCTGCGGAGGAAAGGGAGGAGAGGGGGTGACGTCGCGTGGGGCGGAGCTAGATGAATTATTTAAATAAATAAACAAAAAACATATAAAATTCATTTATTATAATGAACGGAGATTTGAATAAAACATTTGCACAATAATTTTGTTGATGTCGCTGTAATTTTTTGTTGTTTTTTTAGTTTGAAAATTACAGTCAATTTTCATAAATCTAAGATATGAGTGTAACTTCTCGAATCTCTTTTAATGAATATAAGGATTTGGGAAGCATATTGGATCAAAGTGTTTTATAAACTTTTATAAACAATATCACAGCTATTTATGATCTGTTGAATAACTTATGTCTTTACATATTTTTCTTTAACACCAACATGACTTCGTTTCTTTTTGTGAACAAGTAATATTTCCTTTCTATTTATTTGTTCTTATTATAAAAATAATGTTTACATAAGTAAAAAGGTGTTTATCAATGCAATTTTTAATTTACCTGCTTTGGATCAGAACTTAGTACTCAAGTACTGATTAGTTCTTCAACACAAGGTAGTGGAGAACTTCACCTGCTGCTGCAAAGCATTTTAACAGCACTAGGTGGCGGTAGAGGCGTCTGTTTATTTAGACAACTAGCACTGCATTATGATATCCTACTAAAACAAAACAAATAAACTAGATTTGCATTTTATGAGAAAAGTGTTATTTCTGAGTGCTGCAGTTTAATTACGAGCTGTTGTTCTCAGGGAAGTGAACTTTATTTAAATGCTTTATAAGTTAAATTGTTGTTCAAAGAAGTTAAGAGATAACCATTACAGCCAGAAATGGAACAACGGATGTTTGATAAGATATCTTAGAAAATGAATTATTCTGTTCATGCAGACTGTAAATGATGCTTCAAACAAACTGTTGCTGCTGTTGCTAACCATATAATGTAGCAACACACTGATGTCTGTCCTCATCTCTTACATTCATTCTGTTGGTGGTGGTGGTGAAGAACAGAAGAAAATCACAGAGCAGAGAGTCCAGGGTGAATATGTGTGAATAGGTGAATGACTGATTGTGTTGTGAAGCACCTTGGGGGGTTGTTGAACCCCAAGAAGGCGCTGTACAAATACCGGCTATTACCATTTACCATGGAAAGCATCTGTTATGCTGTATATGTTTGGTTCTCCCTAACTGGACTCAAGCAGCAGGAGACCACCAGGTGTCTCTCCTGTCAGCTAAGAATAAGAACCTTCCCACAGGATCACCAGAACAGGACCTGAAGTGACTGCAAAAACCTTTCCTGGTCTGCTCAGGTAAGAATTTGGTGTCACCAACATGAAAGCACGGAGCTATCCTTCCATGTATTAACGCTTAAGGGTGCTGTTGGAGCTGGTGGAGATGTTCTTGCATGCATGGAGAGAACATGCTAACTCCATGCAGAAAGGTGACCGCTGGGATTTGAATCTTCTACCTTCTGTATGAGCCAACAGTGCCTCCAACTGCTCCACCGTACAGCCATGGGAGCACAAAAGCACTTTATTTGTTGAGGAATGTAAAGTAATGATAATAAACTTTCCTGTGTTCAAACTGTCTAATAGTGATCTTAATGTGTGTGAGAAGGTGAAATACCTTGGCCACTTTATAACTGATCAAATGCGTGATGATGCTGACATCCACAGACAGTGCTGTAAGCTGTATGCACAAGCTAACACTATAGCTCGTAAGTTAGGTTTTTGTTCACTTCCAGTTAAGGTGGCTTTATTTAAAGCATATTGTACTCCGCTCTACACAGCCCAACTGTGGTCATCCTACAATCAAAGCAGCATGAACAAGCTGCAAGTTGCATACAACGATGCCTTAAGGATTATACTTAAAATACCCAGAGGGGGCAGTGCCAGTCAGATGTTTGTAACAGCAGGTGTTTGTACTTTTAAAGCTCTTTTAAGAAAACTCATATTCACTTTTATAGGCCGACTGGATAGCTCTGCCAACAGTATAATTTTAGCAATCACTGATCCTACTGTGAGCAGTTGTCGCTATTTCTCCAGTATAAGGAAATACTGGTTGAAGTGTTTGTGTGGTTAACCTTGTGTGGAACAGTTTATAGTAAAGCTTTTAATTAAATTTAGATTTTTATTCAATTTTATGCTGTTATCTTATTCTATTTATCTATTTTGTTTCATTGATCTGTTGTTTTATATGTATTTTATCTGGACCTAAGAGTCTGTCAATAAAGATTATCTATCTATCTATCTATCTATCTATCTATCTATCTATCTATCTATCTATCTATCTATCTATCTATCTATCTATCTATCTATCTATCTATCTATCTATCTATCTATCTATCTATCTATCTATCTATCTATCTATCTATCTATCTATCTATCTATCTATCTATCTATCTATCTATCTATCTATCTATCTATCTATCTATCTATCTATCTGTCTATCTATCTAATGAAGTAAAAAAAGTCTAACTTTACATTCCTTTAAAACTATGGGTCATGTTAGAGCAGCTTTAGCATAGCATAGCATAGCATAGCATAGTTTATTTATATAGCACATTTAAAATGCAGCATGGGAGCTGCCCAAAGTGCTGCACAGGCTAAAACAAAACACACCCATTACAAGGAGCTAAAACAAAGGATAAAAATCTCAATTAAAAGCAGAGAAAACATGATGAATACTAAGAGCACATTAAAACAATGACACAATAAAACACTAAAACGAGTCACTGTCTAAAAGCCAAAGTGTAAAAGTGGGTCTTTAAATGAGATTTAAAAACCGCCAGAGATAGAGCCTGCCGAACTCCAATGGGCAATGAGTTCCATAGCTTTGGGGCAGCATGGACAAATGCTCGATCCCCCCGTGATTTGAGTCTCATCCGCGGCGTGTGCAGCAGCAAAAGGTCAGCCGACCTCAACGAGCGGGTGGGCACATATGGAGTGAGAAGGGCAGAGAGGTAGGAAGGTGCCAGGTCATTGAGTGCTTTAAAAACAAAAGTCAGTAACTTAAACTGCACTCTGAAAATGACAGGGAGCCAGTGAAGATGTTCCAGGACAGGGGTAATGTGGCTACGTCAATGTGGAAAACACTTGAGATCATTTATTTTGAATTAGAAAATTTAGTAAAAGGAACGGCTTCACTAACTGTACGTGACCTTTGACCTTATCTAGAAACCAGGTTCAGATCTTTGATCAGTCCTGAGAGCCCCTGGTGTATTCATGGAGAACATCAGTCACACAAGAAGCAGCTCAGACTCAGCTGTGATCATGGAAATAAAGAGTGGCCAGTCACATGGCAGTTACATCTTTGTTCTTGTTCCAAACAGCCTGAGTTTTAGTTGTTTATTTTTAGGATCTGCCCAACACATTTTATGTGACAGATCAAGCTGCCAGAAGTCACCAGCCAGCAATCTGGTAAAATAATGTTTTCATATAGTCAGCCTTTAACTCAAGCCCGGTATTTTCTAATGGTCTGGTACTTTGTACTGTCTGAACCAGTGAGAGAAGCATGAGGAACTGAGAACATAAACATTCACCCTGACTTTGGAACGATCTTCCTTTATTCTTACGTATAATGACGGTCTGGACTCTTTTAAAAAACAGCTAAACACCCTTTTATTTAAAGCTGCTTTTTACATAAATCTTTTGTTTTCTTATTTTTAACTCAAACTTGTTATCAACTTTCATTAGTTTTATTGTTTTATTTTATAATTTTATGACTTTGTTTATCTGATATTAATCTATATCTGTTTTGAGATCATTATGATTTCATGACTATGTTTTATTTTGTTTTGATCTATGTCAAGCACTGTGTGAAGTGTGTCTGTGATAAGTGCTATATAAATAATATTTACTGACTTACTTACTCCTTTATTTTGAATATCACTGGTTTGAAAGATCACGAGTCCTCGTTTCACTTTCCCAACTCTTAATAATCAAGCTCCATCATACATCAGTGATCTGATTGTTCCATATGTTCCTAACAGAGCACTTCGCTCTCAGACTGCAGGTTTACTGGTTGTTTCTAGAACATCTAAAAATAGGATGGGAAGCAGATCTTTTAGCTATCAGGCTCCTCTTCTACAGCTCCATGCTTAAGTCCGTGAGGCAAACACCTTGTCTACTTTGATTAATAGGCTTAATTTTTTTATTTGATAGGGTCTATGGTTAAATTTTGATGATCTGGATGAGTGGGGGAGTAGATAGAGGTGGAGGGTACAGTGGAGAATACAGTCGGCTCTCCCTTGCCGACTGTATCCATCCTCCAACATGCCTCCATCTAAAAGGCTAGGTTATTCAGAATTATCTCTGTAGTTTATGCTGCTGTAGGCTTAGACTTCTGGAGGATACACTGACCAATTTCTTCTAATACTTATTTCTAATTGCATTATTTCCTGCTATTTCAGCTTTTAACTTTTTTTTTTCTCTAAGTGTTTTTCTCCCCAGAAGAAGCTACAATAATGTTCTGCTGAGCTGTGGTGGCCTCATGGAGGGGGCTATTGTCTAGCACACTGCTGCTAACCACTTAAACATTCTCCCTCTCCTGATAATAACATTTGACTCTCTTTGACGTTGGATGTGCTACTGCTAGTTTACCCGTTTAATTATGGATTCACTAGGATAAATACAATAAAGTTGATCTCTTCCTGAATAGAATATTTACTAATAATTTACAATGTAGCCATAGAAACACTACTTGGTATATAGTGTGTGTGTGTGTGTGTGTGTGTGTGTGTGCGTGTGTGTGCGTGCGTGCGTGCGTGCGTGCGTGCGTGCGTGCATGTGTGTGTGTGTGTGTGTGTGTGTGTGTGTGTGTTTTCTCCATCCCCAGTGAGTCATGGTGGATGGCTGCTTATACTGAGCCAGGATCCTCTGGAGGTTTCTTCCTGTTAAAAGGGAGTTTGCTGTCACTATATGCTTGCTTAGTATGAGGATTGCTGTAAAGTCACTGACACTAATCATGTCACGTTGAGAGCAAGGAGATGGTTAGGACCCAAGATGCAGATTACCCCAGATGACACGAGGCAGGAGCGTTTTAAAGTAAATCCTTTATTTAGGATGATGAACTAAAAATCCTAAAAGGGGCAGGAAGCCAAAAACAAAAGTCCTGAATCAGGAGAACAAAAGCTCACTTAGAGCACAAAACCTGGAGACGAGACGCAAAGCTCACATAGAGCACAAAACAACGCTGACACAAACAATGGACCGACAAGACAATGAGACACAGACAGGGCTTAAATACACTGCGGCATGATGGGAAGCAAATAGGCTGCAGGTGTGTGGGGAGAGGATCCAAGTGAAAGCAATTAACTAATCAGGGAGGAAACTAACATGACCTAAGAGTAAAAAACCTAAAGACAAGATAAGCACTCAAAATTAACTAATATTCTAGGTGGAAGGGAACCTACAAACACCTGTGGGAAAATATACTAAAGAGACTAATAAAATGAGAAGCTGCAGAGGAGTGACTGGGGAAGACTGAAGGAACACAGGACCTGGGAGGGATGATCTAGAGAGCTGCAAAACAGGAGACACCTGAGGAACACAAAGAAACACATAAAAAGATGCAGACAAGGACACATGAAGGTGCTAGAAGACACAAAAGGAGAACCTAGAGAGGGAAGGAGAACACAAGGAGACACACGAGGGGAGACGCAGACGCAGACCATGACAAGTCAGTCCTTATATAGGGAACTTTTTACTGATTGGGCTAATGAACTGAACTGAATTAGAATGTTTTATTTTTTGAAGTGCCCTGAGATAATTCTTGTCATGTTCTGGTGCTACATAAATACTAAACTGAGTTGAACTGAATTTGGATTAAGTCATATGTTATTAGTCACAGCCAACACTAACTTCAAGATATGAGCAACAAGTTTGGTCTGCAAGCTAAAACAAGTGGATAGCTCACGTTTGCTGGGAGAGCTGTTTGGACAGAAGCTGCAGAAAAACATAAAAGATGGAGGCTCTGAAGCAACCTTCAGATGACCTTCTGTTAAAATGGGAATGCACATGCTCCACTTGTTACATCCCTTTCTGTGGTAATGCATTTAGAAGAAAACATGTCACACTTTAAAGCTCAGACCACCAACATTTCAGAGATGAAGGGAAGGAAACTCAATCCACAGAGTTGGATTGTGTAGAATGGATGTGGATGTGTAAAGACCAGCAGGTAACACAGCAGGTAAAGTGGCTCTGTTGTTTTTCCAGGAAGTTATTCAGCTGAAAGAATGTCCTGTGTGATATCACCCAACGCATATAACACATGACTTCCTGAGGTGAAGTTGCATGGAAAATAAAGAAACCCTAGATTTCACTTTGCTGCTGCTTTTGGACGTTTCTGTTCTGATTCAGGGAAGAGACAGGCTGTTCAGAGGGCCCTCGTCCTTCTTTCTCTGGATGTTATGATAGCTGTAGGGATGATGATGGGAGAGACAAAGACTTGAGTACCCATTCCAGTCACAGAGGTCAGAGTCACTCCAGAAGAACAGAACTGGGTAAATTACCCCAGAGTTTAACCAAACTCTGGGTTTCTGATAACAAAGAGAGGAAAGAGAATTTCTGAGTCTGTCGCCATGGTAACAGGCTCCATCCAGAATTCCATTCATAACTTACTACAGGTTTTCACAAACCTGGTGTGAAGGAGTGAGCATCCTGTCACTGTATCCAGATTGATCACGTGCCATGGCTATTTGGCCAAGGGGGTCCCTTTGGCTGAATACAATGATGTTCTGCTGAGCTGTGGTGGCCTCATGGAGGGGGCCATCGGCTAGCACACTGCTGCTAACCACTTAAACATTCTCCCTCTCCTGATTATAACTTTTTGCTTTTCTTGACGTTGGATGTGCTACTACTGGTTTACCTGTTTAATCATAGATTCACTAGGATAAATACAATAAATTTGATCTCTTCCTGAATAGAATATTTACTACTAATTTACAATGTAACCATAGAAACTTTACTTGGTGTGTGTGTGTGTGTGTGTGTGTGTGTGTGTGTGTGTGTGTGTGTGTGTGCGTGTGCGTGTGTGCGTGCATGTGTGTCTTCTCCATCCCCAGTGAGTTGTGGAGGATGGCTGCTTATACTGAGCCAGGATACTCTGGATGTTTCTTCCTGTTAAAAGGGAGTTTTCCTCTCCACTCTCGCTGCATGCTTGCTTAGTATGAGGATTGCTGCAAAGACTCTGACACTAGTCAGTGACTCGATGCAACCTGCTGGGTTCCTTATATAGGAAACTTTTTTCTGATTGGCTTAATGAACTGACCTGTACTGGAATGTTTATTATGTGAAGTGACTTGAGACGACTCTTATCGTGATTTGGGGCTTTATAAATAAAATTGAATTGAAATTTGAATTGACTGGTTAGCTCGTGCCTCTCACCCGGGAGTCTGGGGATCTTATCCCGTGCGCGCCCTCATTTCTCCACCCTGCCACACTGGTTTCTGGAGTCCCCCTCTGATGTCCTGTCTGATCCAGAATAACTGAGTCCCGATATTTGGTGAGGAGGGGCCACTCCAACAATAGAGCAGCATCTCTGCCCCAAAAACACACACCAGGCACTGGAGAGGCAGCAGACAGACTCAGAAGTCATGCACCAGTTTAGGATTACAAAATCTTTTTTTAATTTTTCAAATGAATAATTAAATTAATTCTATCAATTTTTTAGTTGAATCGTTTTAAGTCACCAACAGAAAATAATACACCACCTTAACTACAGACAGCAGAGGGAAGGTACGTCATTTTCTTTTTCATTACTTGCTTTTGAGTGTTTTATCTCCTTTAATCAGTTAGTGACCAGTACAATGTGTTAGAGTGATCAGTGAGTAAATAAACCAGATCGCTTGGATCAGAAATAAAATAAAAAAAATTTTAAAAACGGGACACAGTCTTGGTGCAGCTGGCAAAATGAATTTAAATGAAGATTTGTGTGACTTTTCATTATCTGCTGGATAAAACTCAAATTTATTTAGTGAACGTTAAGAGTGATCCGGTGGAAAAGAGCTGTGAGGTTGGGATGAGTCTTCCTGTCTGGTTTGATGGTTTTGACAAGAGAAGAACCAGAGCCATTTCCAGTGTGATGCCTGGAAACACGCTGATCCTGATCAGGAACAGCCCAAGCAGCTCAATAGTTTAGCTGTTGGTGTTTGAGTCAGATAACATTATTTGTTTTTATAAAATGAACTTTACCTACTTTCACCAGTAGCATAACAGAAACTTAGTAATAACAGATTTATATAGCACTTTCCATGATTCATGCACTCACATATTCACACACTGCCGGTGATGGTTAGCTACTGTGTAGCCACAGCCATCCCGGAGCAGCTAGGCTGCCCAAAGTCTCAACGGCAGAGCACCCTGGCTCGAGCTGGAATCCTCCTATCACTAGACCACCTGTTCTACCTCGTGAGCTACTGCTGCCCCATCTTATTATCACAGAAATCCAGCAGACAATGGAAAATGACATGAGTACGACCCTGAAAGGGACTTTTTACAGTGTGTTTCAGAAGTTATAAATTGCAGAAAGCTTCCTGAATGGCCTCCGTTTGGAGATATATATATATATTATGTCCTATTGGACTGATGAGCTAACGGCTAGGCCAAACACAGCAAAACCAAAGTGTTTCTAACAACAGACAGGTGCTGATGATCTCTATCAGCAGATACACCCTGTTGGACTTGACCCCTGGTAGCACCAGACATCCTAATTTTGCTCCTGCATGTGGCAAAAGTTTATGAAATAAAATCTACATCAAGTGCTGTGCTTAGACTAGCTGTTAGCTCATCAGTGAGCTGATGGACATAAAATATTTTTATGTGACCTGGGGCGTTTGCGTTTCAGAAAACTCTCTCTCTCTCTCTCTCTCTCTCTCTCTCTCTCTCTCTCTCTCTCTCTCTCTCTCTCTCTCTCTCTCTGTTTGTGTGTGTGTGTATGTGTCTCTCTATCTATCTGTGTGTGTGTGTGTGTATGTGTGTGTCTCTATCTATTTCTGTATGTGTGTCTCTATCTATTTCTTTGTGTGTGTGTGTGCGTGCGTGTGTCTATCTATCTGTGTGTGTGTGTCTATCTATCTGTGTGTGTGTGTGTGTCTATCTATCTGTGTGTGTGTGTGTGTGTGTGTGTGTGTGTGTCTATCTATCTGTGTGTGTGTGTGTGTGTGTGTGTGTGTGTGTGTGTGTGTGTGTGTGTCATGAACCTGAACTGATGACAAAACTCTCACTAAGTAATCTCTAGATGAACTCATCCTCACTCAGTGGTAAACATCCAGGGAGCAGACATTGAGGTGGGGGATACCTGTAAGTACCTGGGTGTTCACCTCAACACTAAACTGAACAGGTCCAATAATGCAGATGCTCTCTAAAAGAAGGGTCAAAACCTCCTGAGGAGCCTGAGGTATTTAGGAGTTAATTTCCATCTGCTAACGTCAGTGGCAGCTGGTGAATGTTTTTATGGAGGGGTCATTATAATAGATGCTGTGCTGATAAGAATATGCCTGCTGAGAAATTTGCATGCCCTATGCATATTAGTAATGAGCCAGATTTTTAATACTAAAGTCTCTTTCCGAAGAATTTCTCCTATCCGATGACACCATCTAGTGGCTGACAAGCACATCACACAAATAATTTCTCCGTTTGTTTAAGACGGGGACTTCACGTTTCTGTTTATAAATGTGCTTCTGTAGCCGACAATCGGAGCTAAAACACGTTTTACACGTATTGTTCTCATGTCATGCTGTGTTCTCATATATTTATATTTTAGAGACTTTCTTGTCCGTGAAAAGTTCATCAACTCTGCATCAGCCGAGGCTAGTTCTGGTCGGTGCTCAGTTTCCTATAGCACGGAAATCTGCGGGGCAGGGGGCGTGCTTAACACACACAAAAAAGATGTATTGCTTACATTATATCACAGTACATGATGAGACTATCACTTTTGCAGATTTCTGAAAAATCATATAACTTCTCAAAGGAGAAAACTTTGGAAAGATACTTTAACACATTAATGGCTGCCATGCCAACGTGATAGGTGGAGTAAAACACTAACAGCTTCCAAACAACAAGAGCAAAGATACTGGAATGTGCAATTACAGTGAACTTTACAGAACAGCCAAATGACACCACGGTCCGTTACTCACTGTGCAAGAGTTACCCTAAACTCTTTTTACCACTGCTGTGGTCTGTTGGGGTGCAGGCAGCTCTGACCAAGACATAAAGAGACTGAACAAGCTAGTCAAAAAAACAGGGTGACGGTGGCACGAGAGTAAAGTGCTCGCCCCGTAATCAGAAGGTTGCAGGTTCAAGCCCTGTTCAGTTTGTTTCTATCATTGTGTCCTTGGGCAAGACACTTAACCCCCTTTGCCTGCTGGAGGTGTTCGGCGGGACCGGTGGCACCAGTGCTCAGCAGACTCGCCTCTGTCAGTGCGCCCCAGGGCAGCTGTTGCTACATCGTAGCTCATCCCCACCAGAGTGTGAATGGGTGAATGATTGATTGTGTTATGTAGCCCCGTGGGGGGGTTGCAGTACTCTAGAAGGCACTACATCAAATACAAGTCATACCATTTAGCTCAGTTCTGAGCTGCCCACTGGAGATGTGTAAAAGGAGGATGGTGATGAAGATGACATCCATCTTGGAAAAACCCTCCCGCCCACTACATTCCACTGTGGAGGCCATCCCCTCTGCAGTAAGAGTGTATAACTCCTCAGCTGAACCGGTACGGTGTTATCCTGGGACACAATAACATCAATGTTACTGCCTTCCATGCTGACATGACAGTTCAGTCCTGGTTGCTTCAATCTGAAAACCTACCCACCCTCATCTGGACTCATTCAGTAGTCTTTAGATGCCTTTGAGTGTTGCATTGTGTATATGAGATAAAACACTGAGCTAAGTCTCCTGTGTGGGTCTGGACCCAGACATTGTCTTTGGGGGGTCTCTCCTGTGGTCTGGACACATGATGTTTCCAGGGGCTCCTTGTTTGCAGCGGTTTAGAGGACAGCCAGAGTGGCTTCACCGCACCCTGTTTGTCTTGGGTCAGTTCCAGAAAAACATCCTGCTGAAAGGATTTATTGAACTAGTGGAAATCTGAACAAATGCTTTCTGAAGCGTGTCATTAAAATGGATTCTCATGAGCTGCAGCATTCCAACTATGACATTTTTTAAATCACTTCACTCTGTTTCTGCATTTTTTTTTTTGAGACACACTGATCCACATTCAAAGCTACCACACTTGTCAGATATCTAAGCAAATCATTTTTTGGCCAGTACTTCCTCATATGTATGAAGAATTAAAATGATTGTAGAAGCCTCAGCCCACCATGGTTTCCTTCTCCTCTGCAACACTAACAGTCCTGCTAATAAAATATGACTGGACATTTTTCCATGGCGTCTTTGGAGGCAACCACTGCAACCAAACGTCTCTAGAGCCAGGTCACAGTGTGTTCTCCAACTTTGGAAAAGCTGAGATTTGAATGGCTTGCATACGAGGGGCGCCAAGACCAATTAGAGGATGAGAATGGTGGTGGTGGTGGTGGTGGTGGTGGTGGTGGTGGTGTGTGTGTGTGTGTGTGTGTGTGTGTGTGTTTGTATGTGTGGGGTGGGGTAGTCTTCAACATAAAACACTGGAGAGATGCAAGAATTACAAAGAAAATAAGTCCATTTGACAGTGACTAAACATGTGCTTGCTGAAGTTTGTGTGCATGAGAATCAACAACAGTAAAAGGGGTTGGAAGCTATTGAGTTACGGTTTAGTCACACTGGTTTTGAGAAAGGGATAAACTCTTCCAAGGGTTCCCATTTTTGGAATTCTTTTCATCACTTTTCTTGACAGACTCTGTTTAGCTGAGAGGAAGAGAGGTGTTAGTTTGGGATGCTTCAGATTGCATCACTGTCCTTTTGTGGATGATGTGGTCCTGTTAGCATCATTACACCCAGACCTCCAGCCAGCACTGGGAATATGGGATCCTTCAGTACCAGACTCTGAACCTTCCATCTTTGATAGAGCTGGTCATGACCTTCTGTTTGTTCCAGGTCCCAGGCTTGCTTAGCTCGGGTGTGAACTTCAACCTTTCTTAGGCCGGGTTCACACAACAGTATAATTGCACTGATTTCTGACCCACTTCTTTCCTTCTACCAAAATGTCTCCAAAGATAATCTTATCAGAAATTCATGTCATGTGTGGTGTGCTAAGAGTGCTCTGGTATTCTTGGAAGGACGTTGAGACCCTTCCAATCATCAATCCAGGCTTTCAAATGTATTCTCGTTTTTGAGTGTGACATCTAGCCAATCAGAATGCAAGGTGACAGAGACATGCAGCCTGCTCCTCCTCCATGTTCGTTTACTACAAAGTCCCACTTGATTTCATGAGATTTCCTGCCTGACTGGATAATGTCTTTGTGTGAAATTGGTTCATGTGTAGTTTTTTATGTTGGTGCCTACCACACACTATAAGGCCAGAAATGATTCATTCATGATTCTTTATCACTGCGTGCGGCGTCTCTAAGGGCCGACACTTTAAAAACCCCAACATGTGAACTGTGCCTTGAGGTGTGAAACTTGCAAGACTTGACACAAGCTTCTTAAGTTCTTAAGTGTCTTATTTGCCCACACAGAAAAACATTGTCCCTCAGACAGCTGTCTCTGTGATGAGATGAACTTTGGACATCTGAGTGAGGTTCTGTTACATCCATTTAATCTGGACAGAAACTGCATGTACACCGTCTGCTTCTTTCCTTGTGTTTAGATAATAGAGTATATATGTCAAAAAGAACATATAACAAAGAAAATCAAATCTTACATAGAAGCTCCACTACAATCCTTTGTTTTTCTGTTCTTCAGAGGCGTGTTGTTGCTTTAATAAAGTAAAACATTAAACTTGCGTTGTGTTTGTTTTCCTGTTGTACCAAACCCATCCAAAACTCTAACCCAAAACCTCAAGTATGTACCAGGCTGTGCTTTTCCAGATATTTACAGGTAAATAATGAACTGTGGGAGATGGAATATCATTCCTGACTCTTATCTTGTCCCATATTGCCTGGTTGATTGGAATTTTCACCCAGATTGGTCCATAACAGTCCTGCTCCGTCTGAGAACAAGGCAGATTTGTGTGTCATGGTGGAAATTGGAGCACTCACTTCAGTGACCATCACTCATATTCTTTCATATGCCAAGCTGATTATCTTTGTTCAGTGAAGCTCATAACATTTCTCTCTTTCTCTCTCAACATGTGAGATCTCTTCTCTCCCTGTGGCAGGTCACTAATTGCTCCATGAGGAACCACGGGCCATGTTGTTAATTGGGCTCCATCTTTTGGTGCTGGTTTTGTGGACTGGCACAGAGGTGAAGACACGCGTAAGGGGGGACCAGATAAAACCAGCTCAAACCCCTTTGATCCCTCATCGGCCTTTTGTTGTTGTCTGGAATGCTCCAACAGAATCATGTCGTCTACGATTTAAGGTGGACTTGGACCTCAGCATTTTTGATATTGTCGCAAATCTTAATGAGACCTTAAGTGGACCAAATGTCACCATATTCTACCACAGCCATTTGGGATACTATCCATACTACTCTAACTCCGGGGTTGCTATCAATGGTGGCCTCCCGCAGAACCAAAGCATGTCCAAACATCTGAGCAAGGCCCGGGCTGACATTGACAAACTAATTCCCCATAAGGACTTCCGAGGTCTAGGTGTAATTGACTGGGAGAATTGGAGGCCTCAGTGGGTCAGAAATTGGGGCTCCAAAGACATCTACCGCAAAAAATCTAAGGAACAGATCCAAAAACTTCACCCAAACTGGCCTCAGAGCAAAGTTGAAAAGGAGGCAAAGGAGACGTTTGAGAAAGCTGGGCAGGCTTTCATGAATCTGACTCTGGCACTGGCTGAAGCTCGAAGGCCAAATGGGTTGTGGGGGTTTTACCTTTTCCCCGACTGCTACAACTATGGCTACAAACAACACCCACAACGCTACACTGGGGAATGTCCGAATGTCGAGCATGTCCGGAACGACCATTTGATGTGGCTGTGGAAGGAGAGCACAGCCCTCTTCCCATCCATCTATCTGGACTATGAGCTAAAGTCCTCTCCAAATGCCCTTAAATTTGTCCATTACAGAGTGAAGGAAGCCATGAGGATTGCATCTATTGCACATACAGACTACACCCTACCTGTTTTTGTCTACTCCAGGCCTTTCTATGCCTACACCTTTCTTGTGCTCTCAGAGGTTTGGTTTTAGGCTCCATGATGGATTACTATGCACTGATCTTTGATGCATTTTTTCTGTTTCACGTTAATCTGAGTGATGATCTAATGATGATCTGAGCTGATGAGTGTTATCAAAACAAACTAAACAATGTCCTAAAAACAATATATAAACGCTTCAGACACAGGCTGACAAGTCTTTCTTTCTTTCTTTCTTTCTTTCTTTCTTTCTTGAAGACGGACTTAGTTCAGACTATTGGGGAGAGTGCCGCCTTGGGAGCGTCGGGAGTCGTGCTCTGGGGATCTTCGGAGTATTCTCGTTCACAGGTGATATATAACAGATTGTTAATATTATTGTTATTATCTTGCAACCAGAAAAACTTGTCATCAGAGTATTTTCATATTCTCGTACCATTTATGAAACACTGTAAAAAATATTGATTGTCATGAATTTTTTAAATAATAATCATAACATTGAATTTATTACAGTTTCAACCTTACAATAAATACTATGTATAATACAAGTAAACAATTCTGGTGACTGTTTTTTAACAGCTCCAAACATTTTATAGAGAAATAATCACAACACTGTCTGTTTCAGTCGTGTTGGAAGTGATTTTGTGTTTATTGGCTTGCATTCATGTAGAGCTATCAAATCAAATCAAAGATACTTTATTAATCCCAGAGGGGAATTAGAGTTTCAGTACACACAATTCAGAGATCAGACATACATGGGCAAGACACATGACAAGAATTGGTGACTGTGGTCATTCGCAACCCTGAGTCGCGCTACCTTAATAGAGATAAGAGGGTTCGTGAGGCTTGGTTCAGGTGGAGGGGGAAAATAGCACTTTAGAGTTACCCTCCCACCAGGAGGGCAGCTTTGCTCTGCAAAAAAAACAAACACCTCAAGCATATATGCAACAGACTTCAGACAACACAACATAAGTGTCCACTAGGTGGGGTGGTGGGTTGGGACTATTCCTACTTCAGTTCCTGCAGCCACGATAAGCAGTGCATGTTACCTCAGTGTGGATAGGGGGAGAAGCATTGAGGGTTGGAGGGTTGCAGTGACCCTGGACGCTTCGGCGGCCTTCCCGCAGTCCCGCCCAGGCTGGGAAAGGAGGCAGAGTTGAGTTGCCATAGCGACGCCACATTCCACATATCTTCTGAGGGGGGAGTTTTCGTTGGAGCCTTGCAGGCTCAAGGGCGCCAGATTCAGATTAGAAATTGTTTTGGGGCCAGACAGAGATATTTTCCTCTCTGTCTTACAGTTTGTTGGTCCTCAACCTCTCAAAATCCCAATAATGGACATTAAACTATCTCAGTCCGTGCTGATTCGTCCACTCTCTCCTTGATGGCATCCATCTTTTGTGCCAATGAATTAATCTCCGCCAAAGTCCCAAGCTTACGATTCATCTCGACAATTATGTGTGTCTGTGAATTCACAGCGTGGTGCAAACCATCTCTGAGCTCCAGGATCCGGCCAATATACCTCGACAGCTCGTTAATTTTCTGGTAAGCCAGGTAGCCTCCAAGGCCAATGAGCAGGAAACCTGACACCAACACCACGAATATCCACACGTCTTCAGAGTCCTTCACAGACAGCTGAGATAAACAAATCAAGTTCTACTGTTTCCAGGAGTCCATGATGTTTCCAACTGGGTCTGTCCCAGTGGGGCATCTGGGAGCCCCTTCTCCCGTTCTCATCGTTGAAAAAATGTTATCAATCGCGTTGAGAGACCAACTGACTAAACACATTTAAGTGTGTTTCAATTTCCAGTTTCCATAAAAATGCAGAAGCAGCTGTGCACCCAGCACACACAGACAGACAAAGGCCTTGAGGATAAGATATGGAGGAGAGGAGGAAAAAAGCGTCTGCACCCGCCAAGAGCCGGAAAAAAAGGGTTCTTCAACCCCCAAGGTGTTTTACAACTAACCAGTCATTCACCCATGCAAAGACACATTCACTCACTGGTGGTGAGGAGCTACAATCCAGCCACAGCTGCCCTGGGGGGCACGGACAGAAGCGAGGCTGCCATACACAGGTGCCACCAGCCCCTCTGGCCACCACTAGCCTGCAAAGCAGGTTACGTATCTTGCTCAAGGACACAATTACTGTGACAGCTTGGATGTGAACCTGCAACCTTCCAGTCACAGAACGAGCACATAACTCCTCTGCCACCATCGCCTGTTGTTTACACTGGAGCAGATTTCTTGGGTAAGAGGAGGTTGAGTTTGTTTATAATCCGTGAGGCCGTGGAATTGCCAAATCTGTGCCAGCTAACACTGCAATGTTGGCATTAAAATGTAAAGCTAGCTGACAAAATGCAGCAGCGTTTTGTAAACGCTTAAAGCCGGAGTGACCAAGAAGTTATTTGTACCCCATGAGAAGGAAATGCATCTTTTTGTTTTTCTCCAATATCAGGTGAAGAAAGAGAGAGGCTAACATTGAGCTAACAATGCTAACTGTGAATTGGAAGTTGGCTCTAATAAAATCTCAAGCTAATTTTCATTTACCGACAACTGGATATTACAGTGAAATGTATTTGTCTGCATTCTTCCGGCTCTTGAAGGGTGAAGACACTTTTCTTCTCCTCTCCTCCATATCTTATTCTCAAGGCCTTTGTCTGGGTGCACGGCTGCTTCTGCATTTTTTCTGGAAACTGGAAACTGAAATTCACTAAAATGGATCTTGTCAGTTGGTCTCTCAACGTGGTTGATAACATTTTTTCAACGATGAGAACGGGAGAGGGGGCTCCCGGATGCCCCTCTGGGACAGACCAGCTGTCTGTGGAGGACTCTGAAGACGTGTGGATATTTGTGGTGTTGGTGTCAGGTTTCCTGCTCATTGGCATTGGAGGCTACCTGGCTTACCAGAAAATTAACGAGCTGTCGAGGAATATTGGCTGGATCCCAGAGCTCAGAGATGGTTTGCACCGCGCTGTGAATTCACAGACTCACATAATTGTCGAGATGAATCGTAAGCTTTGGACTTTGGCGGAGATTCATTCATTGGCACAAAGATGGATGCCATCAAGGAGAGAGTGGATGAATCAGCACGGATTGGGATAGTTTATGTCCATTATTGGGATTTTGAGAGGTTGAGGACTGTTATGTACAGTGCCCCTTTTCAGCCACAAGATGGCCTCAGTGGCTTTGCCTCGCCTGTCTCCCGGTGTAACAGGTGTTTGTAATCGCTCCTAATCAGGGAGCAGCTGTTAAAGGCTGCTCTCCTCCCTCAGGCAGGGAGAAGGTACAGGGAAGGTTGGGGACAAAGGTGTTCAGGTTTCTCTCTTCTCCTGGTGTGCTTGTATGTGTGTTGCTTCGTGGTACTTTGGTGATTTAGTGGTTTACTCTCGATAATTAGGATTTCTGGCAACTCTGACTTCGGACTGGCCTTTGACTCCCCCTTTTGGATTTCCCCTGAGCATCTCTGCTTAACAGGACATCTCTTGTTTAGTATTTGTATATATATTGAATTTAGTGTTTTAATAATAGTAAATATTTCAGTTAGATATTTTTCTCCTCCCAGCCTTTTTGGCTTGGCGCTTTTTGTTAACCCTTTTTTCCCTTTTCTAGGTGCTTTGTGTTTAATAAAAATCCTTTGTTTGAGACACAAATACTCTGTTATTATTTACCTACACACAACATCTCTTACTCCCTCTACCACATCTCTCCTAGCGAGCTGAGGGACGTAACAAGGACCAACAAACTGTAAGACAGAGAGGAAAGCCTCTCTGTCTGGCCCCAAAACAATTTCTAATCGGAATCTGGCGCCCTTGAGCCTGCAAGGCTCCAACAAAAACTCCCCCCTCAGAAGATATGTGGAATGTGCTGTTGCTATGGCAACTCAACTCTGTCTCCTTTCCCAGCCTGGGCGGGACTGCGGGAAGGCCGCTGAAACGTTCCAGGGTCACTGCAACTAGGGCTGGGCACCGTTGACATTAGAATCGATCCGGTACTAATTCCCGGTACCTAGGAATCGATACCGGTACTTTGCGGTACCAATTTTAGATACTTTTGAGTGTTTAATATTTTAATTCTCTTTTATAATTAATTTTTTTTCTCAATATACAACCATATTTGATAAATATCACGATAAATAACATACAACTGTTTGTATTTTAACATCGTCCTTGTAGTTTTATAAGCTGATAATTAAACTGAAGCAAACATCTTTACTGTGAACTAAATTTACTGTGTATCTTCATTCCTTTTGCCATCCTTTTTCTTTGATTTTTCCTACTGGGAAGTTAGAATTTCCGAGGAGAAAGCGAACGCACTGTTAGCTGATAACAATGGTGGCAATGGAAGCTAATTTATCAAGCTAACGTTATCTTAAACGGTTTATTTAGCTGCTGGAGCAGATTTAAACGATGATGCCTCACACTTAGATCGTTGTCGCTGGTTTCATCTTCACCCGTCACATTTAGTAAAGTGAAGCCAAACTTTAGAGCGCGTTCATGTTCTTCTAGTCGGAAATTCGGAGTTCCGAGGAGAAAGCGAACGCACCATTAGCAGAACGGAAGCAAACATGTCAAGCTAACGTTATCTTAAACATTTTATTTACCTACCGGAGCAGATTAAGTTGAGGATGTCTCACTTAGATCGTTGTCGCTGGTTTCATCATCACCCAGTTACCCATCACATTTAGTGAAGTGGACCCAAGCTTTAGCGTGCAATCTTTCTACCATGCTGCTCTGTTTACAACTCGCTCGCAGCGACCAACGACAACGCTTTTGTGCATGCGCAGCTGTCTAGGCAAGTTCTCGTTATGAAGGACGGGTACCGAAACGAGGCACCGTTTCAAATGACGTGAATCGGTGCTCAGTCGCTACTATGGAATTCGGCCGGTACCTTAAAAAGTACCAAATTCGTTACCCATCGCTAACTGCAACCCTCCAACCCTCAATGCTCCTCCCCCTATCCACACTGAGGTGACATGCGCTGCTTCTATCGTGGCTGCAGGAACTGAAGCAGGGATAGTCCCAACCCACCACTCCACCTAGTGGGCACTTATGTTGTGTAATGTCTGAAGTCTGTTGCATATATGTTTGAGGTGTTTTTTTTTTTTGCAGAGCAAAGCTGCCCTCCTGGTGGAGGGCAACTCTGAAGTGCCCTATTTTTCCCTCCACCTGAACCAATCCTCTTGTAACCCTCTTTTCTCTATTAAGGTAGCGTGGCTCAGGGTTGCGAATGACTACAGTCACCAATTCTTGTCATGTGTCTTGCCCATGCATGTCTGATCTCTGAATTGTGTGTACTGAAACTCTAATTTCCCTCTGGGATTAATAAAGTATCTTTGATTGATTGATTGATTTCCACTTACTGTGTATGACTCATCTTCACTTGAAGTCTAGAGCCTTCTGGTGCTGATCTGTAACTGGCAACAGCCATCAAACTCATGAAAGGGAGGTGAGGAGTCATAGCCTAGATATCTAGACAGACAGTATACAAAAGGCTTGTGCTCTGCAGGTTGGTCTAGCCACGCTACTTAGTAGCCTCAGCAGGTCTACCATCGGCCTGAGCAGATTTGTGTCTTGCGGTTTGGGGGTAGGATGTTACTGCGACTGAATGAAATAACAAAGATGGTGGCTTCTACAGGAGTTATTTTTTTGCTCTAAAAACATGACTGCGGTACCCAAATCTGACCACAGGATGTCATTCTTAGATTATTTTTAAAACAGAGACAGACACAACCATGATCTTTGTTTAATCTTGCATTGTGATCTCTCTTCCTTGTTTAGAGGAACTGCTTGACTGTGAAGAAGTACATTGATGGTCCTCTGGGGCATTATGTCATCAACGTCACATCAGCAGCTAAGCTGTGTAGCAAAGCACTTTGCAAGAAGAACGGCAGATGTGTCCGCAAGAGCCTGGACTCAGGTGCTCACCTGCACCTCAACCCTCGCTTCTTCCATATCCGCCAAAACCAGGCCCCCAGAGGCCCCCATTTCCTTGTCAGAGGTCACCTGAACAACCTTGATATCCTAGACATGAAGCAAAAATTTACTTGCCAGTGCTACCAGGGCTGGACAGGAGTTTACTGTGAGATCCCCCAGGCTTTGTCCCACCCTTCCTCTCCACCACCTCCACATGTCATTCCTACTCCTCATCCTTGGAGCAGCAGGCTGCTTGCAGATCTTCTGTTCCTCCTTTCCCTTCACTTCTCTTGTCTTTGCATCATCATGTTTTTGGGACTCTGTCTGATTATAAAATGTTTGATTTTGTAGGAGGCAACATTATCTTAAGTGTGCAAATTTCTTTAGTTTGGCCAGAAAAATGAACATCACGCCAACTGACTGGCTGTGGACAGTGTAATGATTTAAATTACATGCCATTTAATAAGCCATACGGCTTAGGATTCCATAGATTCCATATGAAACCAACCTTGTGGATCTGTTGGGTTATTTTAACCAGAAGATTGGAACTTTTTAATGCAGGGATTAGATAACAGCTTCATATTAACTCAGAGACAAAGAAGAGAGAGTCAAGTTTTAAAAGTTTAAAAATGTATTACTAAACAAATTAAGCTAGACTAACTTAAACACTAAATGTATGGTGTAACTAAGGTGGATGAGACGGATAATGGTGTGATGTGTAATGTTGCTCAGAACCAGCAAATCAGAAGAAGTGATTAGTTCTGATGGGAACTGAAGGTGATGTCTTCGCGTTAAGCTTTGATTAGGAGATTCATAAACACATTCGACGCCATTTGTCGGTCTACGTACCGTTAGTGGAAGTCCCCGTCTAGATCAGGAGGTGTAAAGGTCCAGCTTGACCTTATGGAGCAGGAGCCTCTAGAAGGAGCCACAGCAGCCGACCACCCGTCTTGAGATAATTCCGGGTCACGATGGTTTTGTTGGCATCGAGCGAGACCCACCTGGGTCGTGATGGTTCAGCTTTTATTCTTTCTTTTTTTTTTACCGTGTCCTGTCTGGCTGTGAAGCAAGCAGAATTGATGTCTGAATGCTGGTGACAAGCCTTACAGATTTACTCTCAGGTGGAGCATCTAAGCGTTTGCTTTTAATGTCACGCCTGATACTTAAAACTTTATTGCTATTGTTGTTGAATGCTTGGTAATTCCGACCAGACACGGAGACAGAGGTGAAAGAGAAAGGAAAAGAAACGGTGGGGAGGGGGGGGGGGGGGGGGGGGGGGGGTTTCCACAAAAATAAACAATGAACAAGAGTCTGCTTCTAGACCTGCAGAAAAAGACAAAACAAACAAAACAAAGGACACAACAACAAGATCTAGCTATCACTGCGTCAACTTGATGAAGAAAATATATAATCAACATTGCTTAACTGAAGAATCACGATAACAAATCACAGTGCATTAAGTGCCCACCATAGTCTTAAGACCTGTGTTTAACGTGCCCAAGCCCATACTTTTGAGAGCACCATGTGAGCACCTGTGTGTGTACACGCGCTTGTTTATGTAAGGTTTCTCTATAGGAGCGTCCAACAGAGAGTGTGAGGGACCACAGATCCGCCCCCCAAAGATGCGCAGGAGACGGGGGGAGCTCCAGGTCCCAGAGATCCAGGCGCTGCCCCAGAACACAGGAACCCCAAGGAGACTGCAACCAGGAAGGCCCCCCCCCCCGAGAGGCACAGAGGATCGCCCCGGGGGGCCACAACCAGCAGCCGGCAGAGTCCCGGGAGACATCAGCAGCAAGCCCACAGGCCCGCCCGCAGCCTCCCACCCCCTAGCCGGCCAAGCCCGGGACCCAGCGACCCGGGACCCAGGGGCGACCACCCCCGCCGGGGACCCAGCAGAGCCCAGGGACCCAGACCCCACCAGGCAGCCACCGGGATCTATCAGGCAGATGCCTAAATCTAAAACCCCCAGACCCGGTTGCCACGAACACTCAGGCAGACCATGGCACAACCCCTCACACCAGGTGTGGCAGGGGGAGGGGGGACAAAGATCTATATCATCAAGAGAGGTTCCAGGAGAGGGGAGGAGTCAAAGGCCCCACCTGACATATACAGTCATACACAAACACAGTCACACACTCCCTCCCTCATGCTCACACATGCACATACAACCCTAGACTTACAAAAATGCACGCCGAACACCCACTCATGCTCCCCATACACACCCTATTTACTCTGGTCCCGGTACTGCTGCACACTGGGTACAACCATCACCGGTAACCAGAGTTTGACCCTTTCTGCTGGGGTGCTGATGAGCAGACTGCCCCGCTCAACGCTCAGCACAGCAACCCACCACCCCAAACCCCAACCAGACGGCCAGATCTCCCTCCAAGCCTCCAGCCCCAGGAAGCCAAGCAATTACATAGGAGTGCTAAGACCCCTAGTCTCCCTCCACCTGCTCCAATATAGTGTTGTGTATTCATGAGGTGTATTCCATGGCTGTGGTGAGCGGGCAGTGTGGGCATTGTCTGGCCTATGCCAGCTGATGCCCCCGCACCACCCCACTTGCACCCACAGCCCTCGATGTCTTAAGTGTGGTTTAAAATTCGAAGTGGGCAACAGCACCCGGGAGGACCGGGAGGAGGCTGAGAAATCCCCCTGCCAAATGCCGTTGAATGTGCTCACTCCCAAGGCCCTAAGTGTGTTTGCATGGAATGTCGTCAGTGGAAGTGTATAGGGTGCAAATAAAATTGGGGGGCAGGTTGCCACAGGAATGCGGAAATGGGGTCCATACCCGCACTCCCTGACTTGTCGACCCCCCAAGGTCCTATGTGTATGTTTGTGTGATGATGTGAGGGAGCAGGAGGAGAGAAATATGTGGGGATGGGGAGGAATGGCTGGTTGGGCTTAGCCCTCCAGGGAGCCAGCTCCCCTACTGGCCCCAATAGGCACTTCTGTTGTCAAATTGCCACCCAGGGCATGGAGACCCCAGCCCAGCCTGCCAGGGCCCAAAGCAGCAGCATTACAGAGCCTCACGGAGTCCGAGGGCACCAACCCAGCCCCACCCCAGCAGAATATCTATGCCCATCCCTGCATTTGCACAACTTCCAGAATCTATAAGACATAGGACATCCAGGTAAGGTTGGGTCCTCCCCCTCCTGGACCTCCCCCTCCCCGCGATGGGACAGCAGAGGAGCCAAGGTCTACCCGAGGCCCCGAACCCAGGCCAGGCACTGCTGCATGTTCCTGCCTTCTTCCCGGCAGCATACATGTCAGGACCCGACCCCCAAGGCCCCGCCCAGATCCCCACTCGGGGGCGGCCACCCCAAACCCCGAGCCCCCAGGCCCCCACCTAGACCCGCCCAGGGGCAATGCAGCTGCCAGGCAGTGACCCATGGTCGCCGCATAGACCTCCATGGGACCCCACTCACAACCGCCAGTAGTCCACCCCCGAGGCAACCCAAGCACCTCCAGAGGGGGGCAACGGCCTCCCAGTCCCAGACACCCCCAGTGAACCCACCTCCAGGGAACATCCGGATACTCCAAACTCAGACCCCCCACTCACACCATCCCGCAGGACATTATCATTGGTCCCCCACCCTCGCTATGTGATGGAACCGATCAAAGGAGCCCAGAGAGATTGATTTGAAGTGGAAGCAGAGGCTAAATCAAGTGTAATATGATCTAACAAAAGATTTCTATACTGGTTAATGCAGAGAGTTTCTCTATTTTTCCAATTCAAGAGGATAGTTTTCTTAGCCATGCATATGGCAGTCAGAACCACGTGAACCAAAGATGTTTCAATCGCGACATCGTCCAGGTTTCCCAGTAAACAAAGAGAGGGGGTGGTTAGGATATGGCATTTCAGAGACTTTGACAGGTCTTCACACACTCTACCCCAAAATTCCTGGACAGGTGGACAGGACCACAGTGCATGAATGTAACTGTCAGGAACTTTGTTTGTGCAGTGTGTACAGGTGTCAGACGACACAAACCCCATCTTGAACATCCGATGACCTGTATAGTGTACTCTGTGTAGAATTTTGTTCTGAATTAATTGTAAATTGGAGTGTCTGATCATTTTAAAAGTTTTTAAACAAGTTTGGGACCAGAAGTTCTGGTCAAAGCTGACTGATAGATCCACCTCCCATTTTTCAATAGGGATTGCAATTTTATCGTCTATTTTACACAGTGTCATATACTTTAGACAGTAGTTTGGGGGGGATGAGATTATAGAAGTCTAATACCCTTGGCGGTGTTTGTAATTCTATCTTATTGAACTTAAATTTTTGTTTGACTACAGATTTAATTTGGTGGTATTCTAAAAAGCTATTCTTATCTATTCCAAATTGGGAGACTATTCTATTAAATGGGATTGTTAGCAGATATCGTGCGCAGCAGCACTGGCTTTCTCACAAAAACACCAAGATGAATTTTCGTTTTGAGCTTGGCGTCTACGGCAGCAGCAGCAGCTGATTCATATTTACCAAAGCTCTGCTTTTTATTGGTGGATGGGGGAGTTCAAAGTTCATTTTTAACCATTCTTATTGGAACATAACATACCACATGACAGCATACGTCATTTCCGCTAACAGTGTTTCCAAAATAAAAGTCTTATGTAAAACATTTAACACATCAGAGCACATATCTCAACAGGGATGAAGTCCAATCCTTCATATATGTGTTCCAGGTATAGGATTCCTTTATTTTTCCAGTCCGGAAGGTTCATCATTTTATTATTTTGCAAAATATCAGGATTATTCCAGATAGGTGTGCGTCTGCATGGTACTAGTGAAGACTCTGTCATTTTTAGATACTCCCACCATGCTGTCAGAGAGGTGCTGATACTAATACTTTTGAAGCCTTCATGTTTTCGTATGCTTGAGCTAATAAATGGTAAGTCTGAAAGCTCTATCGTATTGCAAAGTGTCTGTTCTATGTCTAACCAAGACTCATCTAGTGGGTTATCTTGCAACCATCTTGGTATAAATTGCAGCCTGTTGGCTAAGAAATAATAATAAAAGTTGGGTAGATCCAGTCCTCCTCTGTCTTTGGTCTTCTGAAGCGTTTTTAACCCTTTGATGCATGAATTATGATATCTTCAACCATGATTTTTTTAACATTTTTTTTTCATTCATCTTTAGGTCTGAATGAAAAAAAATTCAACAAATATTTTTTGTAAAATCTTATAACTTACAAATAATTTATTACATGTCCATTCTGAGCATGAAATATGTTGGCTTGGCTTACTGAAGTCCAAATGGAGGGGCTCAAATGCAATAAAGTCTTCAACAGCTGTGCTTAATAGCAAAAATAAATCAATAACAATTTAGAGTACCTGTACACTGTAGTGACCATTATGCATCAAAGGGTTAAGCTAATTCGTGGAGGACCATCATTTTAATTGTAGCAGCTCTCCCCATGAGTGATATCGGTAAGGATTTCCATCTTGCAAGATCATCATCCACTTTCTTTATAAGTGGGATGTAGTTTAGTTTGGTTAGATAGCATAGCATAGCATAGTTTATTTATATAGCACATTTAAAATGCAGCATGGGAGCTGCCCAAAGTGCTGCACAGGCTAAAACAAAACACACCCATTACAAGGAGCTAAAACTAAGGATAAAATCTCAATTAAAAGCAGAGAAAACATGAATAATAAGAACACATTAAAACAATGACACAATAAAACACTAAAACGAGTCACTGTCTAAAAGCCAAAGTGTAAAAGTGGGTCTTTAAACGAGATTTAAAAACCGCCAGAGATGGAGCCTGCCGAACTCCAATGGGCAATGAGTTCCATAGCTTTGGGGCAGCATGGACAAATGCTCGTTCACCCCGCGATTTGAGCCTCATCCGCGGCGTGTGCAGCAGCAATAGGTCAGCCGACCTCAACGAGCGGGTGGGCACATATGGAGTGAGAAGGGC